CGCTGCAGTGACAATTGTCGGTACATTGAATAGTCTTATCTGCTGCTTCACGCCCTTACACATACGTTCATGTACATATACGCATATATATATATATATAGAGAGAGATATAAGCATATATATGTATATATATATATATATATATATACACATACAGCAAGACACAAACATACAGACAAACGGCTCACAGCTCAGAGCCTTGTGCCCAAATCGCCTGCATCAGCGGATCCGCCACGGCAAATTCAATGCAAGCGTTGTAGGGGCTTGGGTACCCATCAAGATTGGGCCAAGCTTGGGCGCGCACAGCGATGCTAGATCCCTAGACGTTGCGAGCCGAAATGGAAGCATCACTGAACTAGAAGGTCTTGCAAGGATCCCGACAAGGAGCACTGATTTTGAGAATCTCCCGGACTGTTCAAAGGAAGGGCATGCATGTGAGTTCAGTTTCTTTGTAACATTTGTGTTGTTTGTTGCAAACGCCTTTGGCTTTGGGCCACGAATGCGGGGAAACGTGAGTTTGCAATACTGCCTTAGAAAGCTTAGTAGTAGTTCGACACTTCATCTTTTACTGATAGAGATGCCTCGTGACTCCTGCCACCAGCCCCTCCATGCTCCCAGAAACCTGAGTACAGAACCTAGGAACCGGGATGAGCATGTATGTGCATCTCTGCAACATCGTTGACAGGCTATCAACACAACAACCGCGATGCATTCCGGCAAAGAACACCGGAGCCGAAGATCCGTACAGGACCGAGAGAGGTTGATTTTGTTCTGCTTGGTGCGGTGGGCATCGGCTTTAGGTGCCCATGCCATGGTGCTTCGAGGCTTCTAGGCAGAGCTGCTCTTCCTGCTAGAAGCAGTCTCTTCCTGCTTTTACAAGGCATTCGGCACACGGCTTCTGAACTGCGCATGCCGCACGGAAGTTTTGCTGCTGCTTGCAATGAGACATGCTCCCGGATGTACAGGTCCTCATCGATAGACGCGACGGCGCTGTCCGTCTTATGATGCTTTTGCCAGAACATGCATGATGTCAGCTTGAAGGGCTCTGGCAGAAGTCTTCAAGTATATGCGTGTGAACGAGCTTGTTGTGATGCCGGGGTGTCGCACAGCCCCAAGCATTGTTCCCCAGTCCATCGACCTTTCGCAGCACAGTGTAGAACTGCTTACAGCTAAGGCCACTGGAGAGCTGGGGTTTGTTTGGGGACATCCCCGTGACTGTATGTCCCGGGACAATCTTAGCGAGGGTCGCTTGAACGGAAGCCCTGCAACGTCCCGATGGCATACCTAATCCTGTTGTCTCGGTGCACGCACGATGCCGAGGGGCCTTGCGCAGGTTCTTCCCTGGTCGTAGAGTCGAGAGTCTGCTTTCGCCAAGCAGAGGATACTGCACCTTAAGCTGAGGATCGGTCGCTCGTGCCGACATTCACATGGAGTAGCTAGCGGCTGGCACTGTTGTTGTCCTCGAAGCCTGGATGCTCCAGGGCTTCTTGTGGAGGTAAGCTAAATTCGTCAGACAATTGATCACTTGATGTGTCGTTGTGCTTTACCATTTCGCGATGTTTTCGTTCTTTGTGTTGAGTTTCAGTGGTGTGCTTTGTTTGTTTATTGAATGTTCGATGCCCCGTCCTTCGCGCGGAAGAACCTGTGGCCCCCACTTCGTGCTGCGGCCTTCCGGAGCTGCGCATTCCGAAGCTCGAGTCGAACGAATCCACCATATTATTGTTGTTATTATTAGACCACACAGCACAGTCACAACACAACCACGAGCTGCGTGAAGGTGCCGGGGTTCAGGGATTTGCAGCAAGTGTCGACGTGCGGGTCAGAGGATGCAATGTAGTCTGTGTAATACGTGGAATAGAATTGGAGCATCCAAACCATCTGGTAAGTGACAGTACACACTGCAATCTGCATCGTCAAGAGAATCAGAAACATGCGCAACGGGCACCTTTTGGTAGAGGCCATCGGACCTGCAGTGCGTCTAAATCACAGAAGCTCCGAGGGCCACCGTCAAGCCTGAACCCGAAACCCTAAGGCCCTAAGTAGTATCGGAATTTTAGACTGGTTCGGCAATTCCGAGACGTGCAGCTCCCTGCGTCGGGGAGGAAACTCGGAAGACATGAGCTCCAAGCGATCCACCACTTAGATCTCCGGTGTCGCATGGCCTTGTTCGAAACCCTTATGAACGACCGGCTGGCCCGGCGTTCATGCGCTTCGGCGCAGGACTCCAGATTATGTCGATGTCTCAGCGTTGTCTTTTTGGAGGTCCCCCAATCGAGAACAAGCAACTTCATTAACATGCCGTCTCTGAACGGGCATGAGGTACAAGGCTCCATCTTTTTTGTCTTCAAGCGACAATCCTGTTAAGGTTTCGGTCTGAGACTGGTGCGCACGGTGTTGTACAACGTGCAGGTCAGCATGGGGATGAGGAGAGCAGTCATTGGAAATAGCACCTACCCCGAGACCCAAGTTGTGGTCACAACTGCAGTTGAGGCAAGCTTACCAGTGGAGTGGGTGTCCCGTTTTGTTGGAGAAGCCTTGTATGTGAAAATCCAAGTTGGCCAAGGTGGTCTAAAGACGCCGCAGTTGTCGGAATCGTTCTTCGGAGATCCTCCCATGTTGATACAAAGCGGCAATCAAGTTTCCGAGCGTGGCTTGGTGCCGATTGTTCGGTGTCGGTTCGCAAGTCTTGGAAAATTGCAACGCCTCCGGGTGTCTTGTCAGTCGTTCCCGGTCCTAGCTTCGGACCCAGGGACCGGAAAGCCTGTGCCCAGAGCTCGAAGCAGTCTAAACCCACAAGTCTGGTTTCGGCACTCGGGATGCTAAAAGCAGAAGTTGGGACTCTGAGCAGACGGCGAGTAGCTGAGTTGAGGGTCCTTCCAAAACGAAGCCATGCACACTAGGAGTGAAGTGTCGGCAGCACGGATGCGAGGATTTACGGAGCGAGCTTCCACAGAATGGAACGCAGAAATTTGCGTTCTAAAGCACAGTTCCAACCGTGTTATCAGGATATGTTTCTATACGCAAGCTTTCTAGTTTTCGGAACCCAGACGCACTCTGGTGTCAGCAGATTGTGTGTGCCTTTGGGACCATGCTGGCTACCATGCATGGGTGCGGGGTTCAGGGGTGTTTGCTAACGCCTGGTGGTCTGGGTCAGGGTTGTCGGCTTCATGATGCGTAAATACAAATCCACTAGTTTCGTTTTAGGCACGGCTGACAAGTCCCCGGATGCTGGCTATGTACAGGCAGCTCTGACGCTCTGAGAAGGTGCATCGAAGACTCGCCGGTAGAAGTAGAAGCATGCAGCTCGACCTCAAGGTCGTTCTGTGAACCCTCGCATAGTGATCCTTCGGATTTGCTGCCCGATAACCCTCGCATGCTCGGTCTACCTGTTCCGATCCGTTGTAAGAGACACATCTTTGGCGCACCCGCCTCGGAGAAGTCTGCAAGCAATCCATCTCTGCAAAAATTCGCAAATGGACAAGCAGAAGTATGCCTGGAGTGAAAACTCACGTTCATGATTCAGGGTATACACGTCTCTTTCTACATTTAAGTATAGCTACATAGAATATGTGTGTATGTATGTTGATACGCGTACATACATACATACATACATACATACTCCTACATACATCATAGATTCGTACATATGTACATACATACAAAATACATACATACATACTCCTACATACATCATAGATTCGTACATATGTACATACATACATAATACATACATACATACATACAGAGACTGGGAGACAGGGAGACAGGGAGACAGGGAGACAGGGAGACAGGGAGACAGGGAGACAGACAGACCGCACCAGACCAGACCAGACCAGACCAGACCAGACCAGACCAGACCAGACCAGACCAGACCAGACCAGACCAGACCAGACCAGACCAGACCAGACTGACTGACAGTACCCTACCCCACCCTGCCGTACCGTACACATGTACGTACCTGCATGAATACACACATACTGGTTGTGTACGTATATGTGTATGTATGTATTTATTTATGTATGTATGTATCTATGTACATGTGCATGTATAGAAACATATATACACATATGTTTATTCACACGCCTGTCACGACGCCTCTGTGTGCGTGCATGCAGGCAGACAGGCAGGGAGGTAGAGTAGATCGGTAGATTGGCTGATAGCAGATAAGCAGATAAGCAGATTGGCAGATAGGAAGAGAGGTAGATAGGTAGATAGGCAGATAGGTAAGTAGGTAGTGTGCATGAATGTCTGTCTGTCTACCTGCCTGCCTGCCTCTCTGTCTGTCTGCATGCATTCATGCCAGCTATATGTCTATCTGCCTGTTTACCTATGTACTTATCTAGCTACCTACCGACATATCTACCTATGTACCCACCTACCTACCTGCCTACCTATCTACCTAGCTACCTACCTACACTTGTTTACCTATCCACCTACCTGCCTACCTACCTGCCCTACCTACCTACCTGCCTTCCTGCCGACTTACCTACCTAGCTATCTGTCTGTTTGTCCAGCAAACATGATTAAGCGCGTGTGTATACACACAGTATGTGTTACATACACACATCTGTTTTTTATATAGATACATCAGCAAGTGCTGTGTCGTCCATTAACGTCTACCGAGGTTTTCCGAGTCAATTTGGGCGTCTGTTTATAATAGTGTACCGTTTCCAGCTTTGAAGAGATCTGATTACAATGGGTTGATGGTGACCGTTGATGTTCGCTTACGGCGTTGAAGATGGAAGGGCTGTTGTAGCAGAATCCACCTATCATCTTTCCAAGAACCCTGCACCGGTCCAGGATCCTTTTCCCCTCGTCCCTCAGATGAGCCTCGGGCCTCGAGCCCACGATTAATTCATTCGTGGACAGGAATCGGCATCGGCTACAATCTCTGTGGCTGGCCGTATCAGCCCACTCCTCCAAACATCCGAAAGTCTCTGAGAGAGCTCCCAGCCCCGCTACAGTACCATCCTGAGCTCGTCCCAGGTGCCCATGTGGGCATGTACACCGAGCTGGCCACCATGTATGCGAAGTTCGCCCGTAGATTTCGCAGTCAATGTATGACTTGTATGGGTTCAGGAGTGGTGGGCTTTGGGAGGTGCTGAGATGGCCGAGATTGCGGGATGACCCATGTAGTATTGGAAGCTTCAATAGCAGTATTCCCATGTTCGATGATACACGGGCTTATAGTGCATGATTGCGGGGTTTCAGATTCTGAGATGCCGGGCCAATCATCGAGCTCTCGGCTTTGCGTCTCGGTGGAGCCTGAAGCGTTTCTTGCGTCGGGACTGTGCCCAAACCCTGACGTGTTCCATCGTCAATCGTGAAGTCTTCGCACCGGGAACCCAAATAATAATTTTCTAATGCACCCTGTTCGAGTGTAGTGGTCTTGGGTTCGACACTGCGGTCCGCAGGTATAAGCCAAAGATGCTTATGGACTTCATCAAGATGAACATTCAGAAGTTGAACATCCCGAAGCTGATCAATGCATGCGAGAGGCCGAATCTTTCATGCTGGTTTTACCTTCAAAGCTTGTCTTGGATTCGAGAACCCGATGCGGTAAACATCACAAAGCTAAGTCTGAACCAACCCGAAACCTTCCCTCAAAAGACGAAGCAGGCACTATCACTGGGAGCACGCCGTCTTCCTGTACACACACTATGACGAGTTCGACCAGGCGGCAAACACCATGATGGCTGGAGACTTACAGGATCTGCAGATTCCAGAGTACAGGGTACATCTCACTGCTTGCTGCACAGGGCAACAGCTCACCACAATGTCTCTATGCTCGTCCCCATGCTGATTTCTGCACCAATGCACCGTGTTGCGAGTCTTTAGGTGCAGGTGTTGCCTTTGGAAAGATCTTCTTGGTTGACTACCATTTTACATCGGCCTCTCATGGGGCTCGGGCTGGATGCTGTCCAAGCTTTGCAACAATGACAAAGCCAGGTTGCAATTTCGGACTCGTCGGACCTCATGCTCCCAGCTCTAAGCTGTCAGCCAGGAACATTTCTACTCTCTCACTTCTAAGCCCCAAGCCTTAATTCTGGGCCGCAGCGCCTCGGATCCGATCCTCAACCGGGGCCCTTTAAGCCCTGACTTTGAGCTCAGCCGAGGCCCACAGCCCGGTGGCTTTCGCACACGACCAGCTCCCACCCCAGAGGGTGAGCTGCAGGAGGATCGTCGCGAATGCCAATGCCTCTAGTAAAGGTAGCATCTAAATCAGATCGCTTGCGCTGGAATGTTGGGTCGGCGCTCCGGGCTGTGGGGGTTGGCTTCTTGCATTCAGCAGTGTCCTTTGTTGCGGACTTCCAAATAGGTACACACCGACTGTTGAGAAAGGTAGCCCAAACAACCTTGCTCTGGTCCCGTACTTGTAATTAGGAGTAGCCCCGCAACCCCAGGACCCTTGCCCTGCGTTGGCCGCTGACCGAGGTTTCTTATGATCATGCAGAAAGTCAGCAACCTCAGTTTCCAGCTGGGCTTGCATGGAGACAGGGGTGACCACGAAGTCCTTGATTCGGACGTTGAAGTGGAAGTTCCAGGCTCGAAAGGTGCATAGTGCTTAGGATTCTTGAGCTTTTTGCCTTTTGCTGCTCAGCTTGAGGCTGGCGTGAAAGTTAAGTGGCTAGACCATTTGTTGTTGGGCCACCGAGGTCCCAAACGCTTGAGCAAACGCTTGACTGTAACTACTTATTGTGAAATCTCAACACGGTCATTTGCGATACAGTAGCCGTTTGCAAGCGAAGGTTCGCCCTAAACCCTACACCCTCAGAGCACTGGTCAAGACCATGAAGTCTTTTCGGAAGTGTGGAAAAAAGATCCTGGGCATGCGGCATGGCATGCTTGTCACGAGCTGGTAGCGGTGGTTCTGATGTCGGGCTTAGGGCAATGTAAACTCGTTGAAGACCCACTATGATCCTAGTCTGTACTGGCGCCCACGTGAAGCCAAGCGCTTGATTGCAATGGCTTTGGCTAGTGCTGCTAGTGGCTGGTCTCTCTTCTCACAGAGGTCTCTAACATGGAGCTCTACTACCGGGCCGTACAGTTCTATCTGGACGAGCAGCCCGGGCCCCGGTGTGACAGTCCACTAGATCTCGACAGAGCTTTAAGACAACGTTTTGCCCTGCGCATTCCAGCATGAAATTCTTTGCCAACGTCGTTTCCTAGAGAGGTTCCAAGCAGACGTTGTTCCGCGGCAATTGCACGATCGGAAAAGCACCTCAAGCTCAGACCTCCAAAGGCTTCGTGCCGAGTTTTTTCCCGAAGGCTGCCAGGTTGTGGTTGGATCGTTTGATCTGCCGGCCTGGCTCCAGCCTGGCTCACTGCGAGAGGGCCAACATACAACCTTTCGTCGCGGTGGTAGGAAGTCGTGGCAGGAATCGTCATCGTCATAGTGGGAAACAGAGTGGGAGGTGCAGGCACTGTCGCAGCAGGATCTTGTGGTGTGGCCCTAGTCTTGGAATTGGACCAGTGCTATTGGAAGAAGCAGCCTTAGCAGTATCAGATTGTGGTTATGGTTGTGGCTGTGGCCTTGTTGTGGTTGTGGTTATTGCTGTTCTTCTTCCCATCGCAATGATTTCCTTGTGGGAGGAATTGATGCGCACAGCTCTGTCAGCCTCGTAGCCCCAAGTGTCCGAAACCCAAACCCCGATTTCGAAGCACCGCTTGTCTTGTGCCAGGGTTGAGGCGGTCGGTGCAGGCTTCATCTTGTTTCCCCGAATGTCCAGTCTGATGTCCGAAGGCCACTGCAGCTGAACTCCCTGCTGTCCACGATCACGCCCAAGGCAGACATCTCTTATGTCAAGATCGTTAGTTGTCCCTTCTACTACTACTACTACTACTACTACTACTACTACTACTACTACTACTACTCCTACTACTCCGACAACTCCTACTACTCCTACTGCTCCTACTGCTCCTACTGCTCCTACTGCTCCTACTACTCCTACTCCCCCTGCTACTCCTACTCTTACTACTCTTACTACTCTTGCTACTCTTACTACTCTTACTACTCTTACTACTACTACTACTACTACTACTACTACTACTACTACTACTACTACTACTACTACTACTACTACTCCCCCTGCTACTCCTACTCTTACTACTCTTACTACTCTTACTACTCTTACTACTCTTACTACTCTTACTACTCTTACTACTCTTACTACTCTTGCTACTCTTACTACTCTTACTACTCCTACTACTACTCCTACTACTACTCCTACTACTACTCCTACTACTACTACTACTACTACTACTACTACTACTACTACTACTACTACTACTACTACTACTACTACTACTACTACTAGTGGGCTCCGCAGCAAACTTGCGGGAAGCAGTTCCTATCAGGGCTCCGCTTTCCTATGAGGGCCTTGCATTTCCTATGAAGGACTTGCTTTCATCTGAGGGCCCTGCATTTCCTATGAGGGCCTTGCTTTCCTATCAGGGCTTTGCATTTCTTATGAGGGCCGTGCTTTTCCTTTGAGGGCCTTGCTTTTCGTATGAGGGCCTTGGAATAATTTTTCAGTACTTATTTTTGGCTTGGCTTGGCTTGGTGGGGGTGGGGGTTCGGGGGTTTGGGGTTGGGGGGGTTGGGGGTGGGGCGGGGGAGGTGGGGGTGGGCGGAACAGATACGACAAGAAGCCAAGCCAGATGAAGCTCTTGGCATGAAGGTTTCGGCTTCGAAAGCTTAAAAGTACTGGAGCAAAACCATGACATGACAAAGAGCAAGGTCAACTGTGCAGGTTAGTTACCCGCTCCCACAATTCAGTCTTCTCTACCCATGTGAACATGTCAAAAATGCATGAATTCCTCGCGCTGGCCACGGATTCTGCATGTCTCCATTTCCACCACATGCAAAAAAACAGCGTCAAATGAAGGACGTCGGACTACTACTACTACTACTACTACCACCACCACCACCACCACTACTACTACTACTACTGCTACTGCTACTGCTACTGCTACTGCTACTGCTACTGCTACTGCTACTGCTACTGCTACTACTGCTGCTACTACTACTACTACCACTACTACTACTACTACTACTACTACTACTACTACTACTACTAGTACTACTACTACTACTACTACTACTACTACTACTACTACTACTACTACTACTACTACTACTACTACTACTACTACTACTACTACTACTACTCCGACAACTCCTACTACTCCTACTACTCCTACTACTCCTACTGCTCCTACTGCTCCTACCACTCCTACTCCCCCTGCTACTCCTACTCTTACTACTCTTAGTACTCTTACTACTCTTACTACTCTTACTACTCTTACTACTCTTACTACTCTTACTACTCTTACTACTCTTACTACTCCTACTACTCCTATTACTACGACTACGACTACGACTACGACTACGACTACGACTACGACTACGACTACTACGACTACTACGACGACGACGACTACTACTACTACAACTCCTACTGCTACTACTACTACTACTACTACGACTACTACTACTACTACTACTACTACTACTCCTATTCCTACTCTTACTTTTTACTACTCCTACTACTCCTACTACCCCTACTCCGCCTACTACTCCTTCTTCTCCTACTACTCCTATTCCTATTCCTACTGTTCCTACTTCAACAGCCACAACAGCTGCAGCTACTGCTGCTCCTGCTCCTGGTACTGCCACTGCCACTGCCACTGCCACGGCCACGGCCACTGCCACTGCCACTGCCACTGCGACAGCTGCTGCTGCTGCTGCTGCTGCTGCTGCTCCTGCTACTGCTACTGCTGCTGCTCCTGCTTCTGCTACTGCTTCTGCTACTTCTACTTCTGCTGCTACCACTACTGCAACTACGACCACCACGACCACCACGACCACCTCGGACAGTATTCAAGCCTTAGGCTATGCGTCCAAACCCCAGTTCTGAAGACGGGCAGGTGGATCACGCACGAGTGGTGCAGCAGGCGCGGCTTCTTACGAGTATATTCCGAGGGCTTGGGCTGTGGGGTGTGCTTGCTGAACACCATGAGACACGACCGCCTTAGTACGGAAATGCAGCCTTTGTTCACGGGGGCTTTGTCAGGGCTTTGTCTCAACTATTGTATCAGCAACCTGCAGTCTTCAGAGGTCACCTCGTCGCCGACAATCATCGCAAACCTTTAAAAGGAATGCTCGAATCTGTTCTCGTCCCCTAAACACGTGTTTTTTTCAGCTCTCCCGTCATGTTACTGTTGCTCGCAGCGATTCTGGAGAATTAAACCTGTGTGGGTGAAGCAGACGACTGGCCAAGTGCTTTGCATGGCCCGATCGTCAACGCAGATGCGTCGAATTTGCTGATTTTTGTAGTATGCTATAGTGATTTCTTGGAGCACTTTTGGAATCCTCGGACACCATCTTCTGGCACTGGAGTCTGTGGCGGTGCCAGCCCCGGATAGGTTCGAAAGCTTGGACAGCTGCCGCTCATTATGCCCTACATGAAGCAGGCGAGAGCGCGCAGGGTCGTGTGTTCGGGACTCACAGCTGCACGAGCTACTTCCGTTAAAGATCCAAGGCCTGTGGCACCTGGGCGAAGGGAAAACTCCCTCAACATGTAATGGAGTTCTCGAAAACTCAGAACCCTACTAGATCAAGGCCTTGTGTTGAGAAATACCCCTCAACGTGCTTATGCCGAATTCTCAACCCATGACTCTACAACCCCAAGACATGCAGAGCCGATGCTGTCACCAGGTGCAGCAGCACAACATTGCGCCCGTCAACGAGGCAGGAGCCCACAAAGCAGCAGCTTATCATGTTCAAGGTTTCGGGCACAGCTGAGAGTCTATCGTGAAACCCTATCTCCTTGCATGAACGGCCCAGCCCTCCTGCAGCATTTTTGCTTTGGGATCACTTGGAGAGCTTAGCTACCACGCAAGCCGCCGCATGAGCCGTCGTGAGCATCACCGAACCAGGAGACTCAAAGGCTAGGAATGTGAGGCAGAATGCTTTTACAGGCGATCAATGAGCTCTACGTGGATGGTGAGCAGTACGAGGAGCTGAGGCAGAGCATCGAGGAGACGGCAGGGTTCCGTCGGTTTCGGTAATGTTCAGGGTAGGTTCGACGGTAAACAGCATGCGAAGACGAATTAACTGATGTGAAATTTAGAGACACGACATGAAATTAGTTTCATGGCCAAGAACCAGGAGATGGTTGAAGAGCTATTCGGGGTCTGCTGGATGAACGTTCGGCTAGCCTTGGGCTTGTAACTAGGACGGTTCCATGCTTGACGGAGGAATCGGGCTCGTTTGCTTTTAATGTCATTTTGGGCGGATTTGCACCGACTGTTCTCCGGAAGTGAGTCAGAGGAGAACTTTATGTTCGGACGTCTCTTCCAAGCCTCTATGCAACAGGATTGGGTTCGGGGGGAACGACCACGATTCTGGGTGTAGCGAGTCAATGTTCCACAGTGTCTGGGCCTGCAGTCTAAAAAGGCAAGTTTTCTTCATTTGTAGCATGTTGGATCCCTGGAGTCGTCATTGAGGGCTCGGAGGCTCGAGGACTTGTAACTGGGCATCGCGGTGGCCAGGGGTTCCATGTGAGGGATTGCAGAATTCACTGCGGATTCGCTTGGCCAAGGTAGGGGTGAGGCTTGGTTCCTGCGGCTGTCTCCAGCGAGAGCCCCGCCAACTGGAGCTCCAGCCGTCCTGACATCCGCCAGCTGCCATCATGTGGCACAGTCAAAGTTGCGCCCCACCCTCGACCCAAGAAACCTCATGATCTTGACCCAACACCTCATCCCCGACAAAATCCTCAAACCCTAAATCGTGGGACCAAACCCAGAAACACATGAGATGCCATGGCGCATCGCTGCTCCGCGCCATTAAGTCAGACTTCACTGGGTGACTTGTCTGCTTTCTCGGGTTCAGGGTTGCGGGAGTTAGCATCAGTCTTGCAATGTGTCGCTAGGTCCTCTCTGGCTCTGGTATGCAGGGTGAAAGGCCGAGAGTGCGAGGATCACAATGGGCGGTACCCTGTGCGAGCTTCACAGTTCGGCAGTACCCTAGACTTTGCATGTTTACGGTTTGTAAGTGTCAGTTTGGGTACACGGCCCGGAATAGGTACAGCAACACAAGGGGTGACGTTTCGGGTGGAATCAGTCCGAACTTCGTATTGATGTTGCAGAGCGTCTGAGGTTTGAGGGAGACAGTCGTGCCGTCATGGCCCGAAAATTATGACTCGTCGCGGTCATCTTGCATTACTTTTCGATCACTGGAATCTCTGGCACCCCGTATACCCAAGCCAAAAGTCACGGTACACTCTGGCAACTTCAAGAACCACAAAGCAGATCAAGCACATTCGTTACTGTTTTAATTGTCGTCATCCTCAGCGCCACGCTCGTAATGGCGGCGGCGATGATGATGATGGTGATCATCCTCATCCCCACCACCACCACCGCCGCCACCACCACTACCAGCATCATCAACATCCTCAGCTTCATCATCATCATCATCATCATCACCACCATCACCATCATAGTTATGATCATCATGTTTTTGATGGCGATGGTGTGCATCGTCAGTATCAGCAGTTCCTGCCTCCAGAACTGCTATTGTTTTGGTCCGTGCTTCTGGTGTAGTCCATGACATTCTTTCTCGTCCAAGTCTATGTTCTCCACACATGTGTTCGATCTCGAGCTTCTATGCCCCTGCGATGTGAAGCGAAGCTCAGGCGAGTTTCTTCGGACATTCCGAAGACGTGCCGGAGAGCGTGGCATCACAGGAACACGGCTACCAGTGCCAGGTTTTTCTTTCATCGAGGTTCATTGTCTTTGGGTGGGCAGGCAGATCAACTTTTTGCGACTTGAGGCTCCAGATTTGACATTTTGGATCTTTGCAGGCGGCACCTTGCCGTCAAACGGCAGACAACAAAACTGCGCGTCTGACTCCTCAATGCTAGGCGCTAGGGTCCTGATTGAACTGTTGAGGTTGGATCTCACTACGACTCCCAGCCCCAAAGTCCGAAACTTACTTAGCGCCTGACGAAGTGAACCCTACTGAAAATCTTGTGCTTACAATCAGCCTTACAACCGCGAAACGGACCTCTGCCAGAGCCAGGGCCTTGCGAAATCATTAACGTCCTGGCTCGCGCGGCCTGGGATCTACCTCTGCCCGCGCCGTGGCGCGAGGCCAGAGGTTTTCTCGAGCTCCGCTTTGCGAACGGTTTGCTACCCTCTCTAAACTCTAAACAGGTTATGCCTTTTTTCAAGGGGTCGGCTTTGAAAGCCGTGCTCCCCAAATCCAAAGGTTCGCTGCTCTCCTCCTCTCAACTTCTCGGTTCTATTTGGAGCCTTTGACACCGCCCCCCGCCTCCTCGTTCCACCAAACTCTGCCACCTAGAACACACAACTGTTCAAACCCCCTTCGAGGTTCTGCAACCCTCCTCAAGCCTCCATAGTCTGTTTCCCGTGCCCTGTTCTATCGTTCACATGATCAAGCCTTGTCAGCTGGCTTTCGAACGGTTTGATTCCCTCACTGTGTCAACACGTCCTATTAATCCATCCTGTCATTCGTGTCCGATCTTGTGTTCCCCTCCCTAATCCCTTTGTTTGTGGTCGGATTTCTGCTAAATCTCAACTTCTCTGTTTCATCTGGTTGTTTGTGTCTCTCTCTCTCTCTCTGTCTATCTCTCTCGCTCCCTCTCTTTCTCTCTCCCTGTTTCTCTCAAGTCCTCCAGTGCCTTTGAACGTCTTGCGTGCTTCTCAAACTCTCCAGCCAATTTTCTAGGCACCGTCGAAAAGCTTCCTGCCTTGTCTTGAATTGTCTTTCCGGAGAGCTTTTGTCCCTTTGGCACAACTTGCTGCCCTTTCTCAGCTTCGCTGTTTTTCGATGGGTTTCTCTCCCGCTCTCTCAACTTTTCTAGGTGCTTCCGTAGTCCCTTGACGGGTTGTTGGGCCCGACCAACTTCCTAAGTCAACTCTCCCGATCGAACGGTTTGCTCCCTGTGATTTCCTGTTCGGACGACTTGCTCCCTTTGACCGCCCGAAGTTATTTCACGCCCTCTGTCAACTTATGTAACGGTACACAGCAGTCGCCTTCCAGGACAGCGCTCCTGGTATCAACTTCCACAGTTCCGTTCCACCCGCTTTTGTTTTTTGTCTCGAAATCTCAATTACCTTGCAACCGGCTTTCTCTGTCGAACTACTGTGCCTGTTCTTTTTCGGAATGCTTGCTGCTCAATGTTCTCTCTATCATTTTCCCTGCTTGGGGCTGCGGTTTATTTTTGGGGTTTGCATTTCGCAGGCTTGATGTGGCATCCTTGTGGGATATTTTGTCAAGCAGGTCCTGACTTCGTTGAAGACTTGGATTTTACGTTGATCGGTGTCGGGTGTCTGTCGGGTGTTTCCGTTTGCCCTTGGATGGCAGTGCTTTTTTCGAATGATCAGGACCAGATCACAAATGAAAGCCCGACTCCTCAAAGTTTAGAGGGCACATGTCGCACAGGAGACCAGCAGTACCGGAGCAGTTTACTTCTGGAACGAAGTGCGGGGGGCGGCAATGTGGCAGCATCCGCTGATGGAGGCCGGATTTCCGATATTGCGATGGATTGAAACCTTAATGCCTGCAGCCTGATCGCTTCCCCCACCCAGATTCCGTCCTCGACAATTCCTAATCGCGCCGTTGGCAGGCTTTTCTGTCAGCTTTGGAGTCGATGGTGGAAGTGGTTCGGGCAGCTCGGCGCTGTTGACCATCAAAGGTCGCCCGGTAAATCTGAATCTATCTGCATATAATGTCAGCTACCCTCATAAGCCGTAGCTTGGTCCCTATATGGAGTTTGCACTGTCTGCAAGCTGCAAAGCCGAAGGAATCTGCTTCAATCTCGGACGTCGTCGTGGCTCTGGCTGCCCACTTGAAACTCGAGCATGGTGATGAATTGAAAAGGCATTTTCAGGTGCTTCCTTCCAAAGAGTTGGCATGTTCTTGCCATGCATCGAGTGCCAAGAGTTGCCAGTCATGAGATCACATATTTGAGCTCGCACTTACTATCGGCTTAAGCCTCAAATATCCATGCATGACTTGCAACGTGGGCTTGAAGATCCCGGTGCTCTCTTAAACTCAGGAAAGCCAGCGATGAGGTCGCCGCTGCCAAACTGGACGGTCTCTTGATCGACCAGATGCGCAGAATCATACCTTGAAGCCCCCGAAGCGTTGCTTTTGACTTGCATGGTGTTTCCGCTAAGTTCGGGTACTCGAACCCTCCCAGCGAACTATTCATTCTTTGTATCTGTGAGTTTCGAACTCTTGCAGTTCTTCAATCACGTTGAACCAGACGGCCTCCAAGGAAAGAGGCACTGATCATGAGAAGGAACGGGTCACGTGGATGTGAAGGGGTTCGAAATCTGAGAGTTCTTCATGAAGGTATCTCTAAGTCATCAACTGCTGTCTCGTAGCAGGCTTTCAAGCAAGCATCCATTAAACAACTTGTAATCTTGACATACTTGACATCTTGACCGCAAGAAAGGTTTCTTTACACACTACATGCTCCCACCTAATCTTTAACCCCAAATCCTGGTCTTAGGCTTTGGATCTTACACGTTCAGTTCGATGTTTTTGGAATGTTTCCGGTTTTGAAGCCCCACAACCTTTCCCCGAGCCCTTCCTGCCTTCAGCCAAAGAACGTTCGACCTTGTGAAGCGGATCTGATGCAATGGTCGCCATACTGAGATGTTCGAGCTTTGTGTTTGTTTTGGACCGGTAGTCTTGGAGTTATCCACTTGACCTCGTTGGTACCCGTGTGAGAGAGGCTTATACAGGTGCAAGACCGTTCATCCTCACGTCAAAATCAATGCTACCTAAATCTCGCGCTGTAGTCGTGGTACTTTTAGTTGCGGATCCTGCACGATGTTTGATGATTAGCCATACTAGGGCAAGTTCTGGAGGATTAGACTTCGCATGTCCTAATCCCTGAGCCATTGCCACTGCATCTCTCCATCCTGCAGCTAGGCTGGTCCAGTCATCTGCAAGGCGGGCTATGCTTTCTGTGACTGGAGGTCTTCAGTCTCATCATGTCGAAAGCCTTCGACACCATAACTTTTCAGCCCCAATAGAAAATGTCTGATATTCGGAGTCGTAGAGTTCAGGATGCCAACTTTGCCTCCATGTCGAAAGTAGTTATTGCCAGCCTCATGGTTATGCCCAGGGCCGAGAGGCCCGAGGCCAGAATCCTAGAATGCCACCATTGCCGCTACTACGCGAAAGCCCATCGGCTCATACCCGCCAGAACACGGCATAAACGCGCATCAGTAAGTCAACATAGCTCATCCTCCTCATCTCCTGCTAGTCGTGTCGCCACACTACTGGACGCCAAGAGGGGTCTGCATTGAGGGTTGCGAGAACCTCGCAATACTGCGCATGCTGACTTCGAGAAACAAACCCAATCAGCGCAAGGCTTTCCAGTACCCGTTGTTGCAAATTTGGCGGCTCCCGCACAATATTCACTTCGTAGCTTTGTTGCGCAACCCAAGCAACAAGCTCCAACTCGAACTTCTCAGATGGCGTGGAGTACTTCTTCAACGAGGCACACAGTTGCAGTCGCAGTGTTGCAGGAAGTGTAGGAGGTAAGCTTAGGGCTTCGCAACTCGACCGTCGCAGGGACGAGCCATGCATTCCTTGGATTCCCTAGAGGAATAGCTCCAAGCAGGTTTCCTATGTAAGTATTGCAGATTCCGGGACAGCCAAGAGATCTTCGCCCCCTCTGGAGGCGACGGGCCAAAGCTCCTGGGAGAACCCTGCCACTTCTGCGCAGAGTGAGCAGGGGCCTAAGCAAAAGGCAGCCCATTGCAGTCAATGGACAGACTCGTCGGTGAGGGTCGGGGTGCGTGCGTGCGAGTACGCGTCTATGTGTGTGTGCGTGTTGTGCGCCCGCATGCAACTCCTTTTTCTAAGGATGTAAGCAGCACCTTGCTTGAGCTATACATCGTCGAAGTCGGCATGTGGCACTGGAGTCCTACCACATGCAACGAAGCTGTGGACATGTGGGCAGCGAGGACTGCCCAGTGTACCCGAAAAGAGTTGCAGATGGGTCGCGCCGCGGCGGCTCGAGGACTCGACAGTGAATCTAGAGAAGACAACAATGTATCAATCCAGCACAAACAGCATCCATCTAAGAAAGGGTGACCTGTCTGCATGTGTGTGTGTGTGTGTCTGTTGTTGTGACATGCATGTGCAGGTTTCAGGTTTCTCAGACCGTCGGACTCCAATCGATGTGGAGCTGTCGTCGAGCTCTTGCGTCGTCCCAACTCTTAAAGGTCTGTGTAGTCAGATACATGATTGAAGTGCCAGGGCTTCGAATTTCCTTAGCAGCAGAGCTTCCAGTTTCTACAGACATGTTTTCTTCAACATGTCCAGGAATATGGCTTGAACTCAGGACGCAAACAAGCAAACTATTAAACAAACAAACGTTCTTCCATGGTTCACTGGCCTACCTACCTACCTACCTGACCTACCAAACTCGCCCAACCGTCTTAACCTCAGCCAAAAGACCGATGTCCAAGCCTCAGTCTGTCATTGCCATTGCCCGAGGCTCCATGCACAATACTGGCTGGCAGCACGATTCCTCACGCACTTCTATGGGGACACTCGCACTGGTTGGACCGGCGAGACAGCATCGTAGAATTCAGCTCGGAGCAGTGCATCCCGTTCCATATCTTGCTTTGGGCTTTCGCAGGCATCTGTACTGAGTCCCATCAGCAACTAGGTCTTTCCACGCTGTACGTGAGCCCGAACTAGACTGGTATGGAGTGTGACAAAGTTGCAGAAGCGTATAAGCGAAGTCTTCACAGCATCAGAAGGAGGCAAAGCGTGAGCAGATATCAAGTCTTATAGGAGATTGCTGGGCTTAGTCTCCAGCCATGCGTGGCTCGGCTATGAGGAGCCTACTTCTTTGGATGGTTGACCGTCCAAGCTCCGGCAAACTTGCAGATGCCGTCGTAGCGTATCATACCAAGCAATGTTGAAGATCATGCGAAGTCTTGAGCCGCAGCTGCTCACTGCCGCTGCGCCTTTACCTGGTATTTCGGCAAGTTGTTAGAGTCTTAGAGGGTTTCCCGTAACCTCTCCAGTTTCCTAAGCGTTATAGGCTTGAGGAGTGTTTACTGCCACGGCATGGTTCATGTTTCATACCGAGTCCAGGTCGGATCAGAGCTCCCATCAGGCCCAGAAAATGATTCGTACCTCGAAGCTTTTATCCGGAACCTGTACCTTACGAGAAAATTCAGGCTTCGCAACTTCTTGAGGAGCTCATGATCAGGGCTGCAGTTCAAGCTCCGGCCTTGTTACGGCCTCGCAAGCACACGAGCCGTCTGGCCTTCATCTTCCTGCACTCCAAAGCCATAGTTCGAAAGCACGTCTGTAAGATGACGCGATTGATCTGCACTCCTTGAATCGAAAATGGACCCCGCCGAGGACGTGGCAGAGTTCGAGGAGATGCCTGCAATGGCAGGTGCCTCGCATCAATTGGTGGCCCTAAGATATGCTGCCGGTTTCTTGATAAGTTGCTGCATTTGGGTAGCGTTTTGGCCAAGTAGTGTTGGAAGAGCATAATGACCCTTTGAGCAGGATTCGCGAGTTTGGGACATGCGAGGGTTGTGCAGGGAGGCCACTGGGTGGAAGATTTAGGTACAGGCTTGGGGCTTTGAAGATATCGTGGTCCAGGGCGCAAAGAGTTTAGGATTCTACGACGTCTTAAACCCTGAAATGAGCTTCCGGATCCTGTCCGGTTCATGTGAAGGCAGGCGCAGGCCCTGGAGACGAAATTCGAAACCTCAAGCTGTCTGCCAGCTTGTTCATACTTTGGGCCCCCGTCAGAAGCACGCAAATCCTAATCCTGAAGCCTCGCTCACTGCCACGGTCCAAAATCCTGAGCCCCCTGCCTCGACTACGCGGAACTTCAAATTCACAGCTACAGATCCTATACACGGATCGTGCAGACTTACTGTCTTTTGAAACAATAACTTTTGCAGCATACACCCGAAACCTACCTGAGATCGCCAGGCGCTGCAGTCGGACCCCTCCTGGCCACCCTTAGCCGCCTAGAACCTCCGGAGGAGGTTATCTTGGCGGAAATACGATACATCCTTGCGGTTCCATCGTGCACAGGGCTTGAGGTACGTTCACATTGTTTACGTACTCCCATTTTCATAGCCAAATTATCCAAAGCTAAACACAGGCACGTTCGAAATGTATCTATATATCTATGTATCTGTATATCTATATAGTTTTATATCTTTATATATATATATATATATATATTTATATGTATGTATTTATATGTGTATATATATATATATGTACATACATATATATATATATATATGCTTACACATACATACATACATACATACATACATGCATACATAAATGCATGCATGCATACATACATAGGTGCATACATACACATATACATACATACATACATATGTGAACGAATCGGCAAACGAACGAACGAATGAACAAGTTAGCTGTTTGATTGAATGATTAATTTAAAGGTTAATCTTGTAGTAAACGAACGAACGAATGAATTACTAAACCAACGAACGAGCATATGCCTGTACGCAAGGACATACTTGTGTGCCTGCCTGCCTGCCTGTCTGTATGTATGTATGTAGGCATGTAGGCATGTATGCATGCAAGAATGTGCATATGTTTGTGTACATATATGTATATACACGTGCGCACATACACATACATATGTATGCATGTATATATATATATATATATATATATATATATATATATACATATGTATATACACACATGCACATATGTAGTGTACCCGTATGACCTGCACATGTTTATGTATACCTGTATGTATGGATGTGTTTATGTGTGTACATGTACATTTGTGTATATATATATACAGATGTATTTATATACATATATGGGTATATATAAGCATACATAGATATGCATATGAAAACATGCATATATATACACACACGTACATGTTAATATACTCACAGATTAGAGAGAGAGAGAGAGAGAGAGAGAGAGAGAGAGAGAGAGAGAGAGAGAGAGATCGAGACCTCTGCACCATAGCCCTGGCGAGAGGGAGGCAGGGACAGAGAGAGAGAGCGAGAGAGAGTGGCACACCCTTTGCAGTCGCAGAGAAAATCCCACCCGTCTTGGCAAATCCTATGAAGACCTGAGCAGTAGACAGCGCACTTGGTAGCCGAGGTCTAACGTTGAATTTCAATGGGGCTCCCATGATAGCAATCGTCCATGAGGAGGGCGGCCCAGTGCACTTTCAGTTTCGGCCAGTGCTCAAGGTTATCCTCGGCATGCTCCAACATCGGGAAACCAACTCCTCAAAGCTCAAAGGTCTCGTAGATCCCCAGAGCTCAAATCATCTTGTTCACATCTGAAAGGTTCAAGACTACGCCGAGTGGATCAGGGCCTCATTGTCCAGCAGCTTACCAGCTTCAGACTTGTGTCCCGGCAGAGTTTGGGGGTTCGGGCTGTGAGAAGACAAACGCTATGTTGCCCTCATCTCTACGACCCGAACTGTGGCAGCACCAGGCCTCCACGTCCGACCGTGCGCACACGCCCACCGCTGCCTCCGTGCCTGGCAGAAATCGTCGCAGGGTTTAGGGTTCAGGTTTGTAGTTGGAGACTTCTGCACCCATCTAAAGCACGGATTTCGTGCAAGATCCTCCCCAACATGACCTGATGGCGCTGTTGCGAAGTGCTTCAGCTTCGGAACCGAGGAGGTTTTGGCAGCACAAGGTCTGCGAACCAGTGTTGTGGTGTTTAGAAGCGGGTTTGCTTGGCTTGTGCGGAATGTTTGGACTGTCTTGAACCGTCGACTAGTGTTGAGATCTTCAGAACGTTCAGCCCCTCATGCCTCAAGGTTTTGAAGCATTTCTGCCCAGCAGCACCAACGTCCCAGCCACCCACCCCACCGGCGCCGCCGCCACCGCCCTGCGCGGGGTTATCACGAGCTCAGCATCATCAACAACATCATAGCAATCCTCCTAGGCACGAATGTGAGGAGGAACAGCAGTGTGAGCAACAGCGGCAAGAAGCAACAGCAGTTGCTTCTTCTACCATTTCTAGAGTTCCGCTGAGCTGTGCAGCACTTGCTCCACCAGATTTCATTCATATACTTTCTGGCATGCATGGAGCTCATCGTGCTGTCTTTCACGTCGACCTGGACGTTGCATCAAGGGTGGCTTCATCCGGACCATCATGAGTCAATGAGCCTGGGCCTAAACCCAATGCTCGCGAGGGTTTGATCTCCGAGCTCTAAGGCTTACAGCGTTGCCTCTGAACGGCACCAGGGGTTCCGGCCCGTTGCCGCATGTCCGCTGCGGTGCCGCTAGGCCTGCAGAGGCCCGGGAGGCGCAGCCGGAGTTTAAGCTTGAAGACTTCGTTTTCGTCCAACCTCTGCCCCGGAGGCTTTTGGACAAGACGAAATCCCTCACTCAATACACTAATAGCTCATGCTCCATGTTTTGCTCATCGCAGACGGTAAGCGCAAGACTCATGAATCCGAGATGCACCTCAGACTTCACGAGGTCCTGTTTTCTCGATTCGATGCCTCAGAGTACATCTCTTGGCGAGAGTCTGGAGAGGTCGAGCTCCCAGTCCTCCACAGATCGGCCACAGCAAGCGGGCGGCTGGAGCGAAGGAGACTTCGGGGCCAAGCAGAGTTTCAAGCTGTGCTCGGAAGCCACGTTTCGGTGTCTTTAGGGAGCGGGCGTAATCCCTTCCCCCTCATATTAATCGTCTGTTTTTGAGGGTTTAGGAGTTGATCACCAGTTGCTTAGACTGTATTCCCTGAGCCCAAGCCACTGCAACTCGACCTGTTGGTTTTAAGGGCTGTGCAGCGGTCGAAATCCAGCGAACTAGTGCCGACTGGTAGTGTTGAAGATTGTATCAACATTCTAAGATAGGCTTGACATTTGCCCTGGCAATTGCGCACTTGTCGTTGGATACATGCACTGGCCCAAAGTTTAAAAAGCTCGCGGTCCTCGGAAGTGAAACCACAAAGCTCGATGTCCTGTGGGCGGCGGGCATTGGGATTCGAACTGTGCTGTTTGTTCGTTCGCGATCCCCAACATCTTCATTTGGGGGAGTCCTGAAGCCTCCAGTGCCGATTGGAATGAGAGGAAGCGTTCGCACCCGCCGCTCACGAAGTACCCGCTTCGCCGGTCGCTGACGATCTGGAACCTTGGCCTCAAAGAGATTTGGAGGACGGTGTGATTTGGGGTGAGTTCTTGTTGGACCAGGGTTCCAAAAAATCGAAGCCGAAAGCCCTGGCCCACAGCAATGTGAGTGAATGTGCAGGTGTGCTACTTGAGGCTGTTTAGGGTCTGTTGCTTGAGCCCATTTGTTCTTGCTTGGTGAAATTCAGTTTATTGCAGCTTCTTTCCGGGCCGTGGGAGTGTTTCGACGAGTCTGCAGGTGCATGTCTTGTGCATATTTGGGTTGTCCGTGGCAGAAGGATTTTCGATGATGGAGTTCAGAGCAACACATACGGAATCAAGCCTGAGAGGGCCTAAGTGCATAGTCTGCCCTCAGATGCTGCGTGTGGCATGTGCTGCTTGATTGATGAACGATGCTTGTTGTGGCAGGCAGAGAAACCACATGTTAATACTTATGTTTGATCAGTTCATCTAAGACAGGCCACAGTATTTGCTGAGGACCACAGTATCTACTAAATCCTGCTTCCGGTGTCTTCTGGTTTGTCCTGCGAAATCGTCTCTTCGAAGGGTGATCTTTCCCAGACCACGCCGGATATGCCAGATCTTCAACCGACCTTCAGCTAGTGAGAAGCTGGGTCTGTCAGGAAAATTCCGCGGTCCGGTGGAGTTCGCCCCAAGCCCTCGGAAATGTACACATTCCCAGAGACTTTCCGCAAGCGTTGACCTCCTGAGCCCTGAATTGCGGAACCCTTGAACCCGAACCTCCCAGCCTGTTGTCAGGGTGTTGTGTTCGCTGATCCTACTTAACGCAGTTGGTCAGAACCCAGCATCACTGGTGCCCATGCCGCGTAGCTGCTAGCAGGAGGACCACTTTTCAGTCTATGCCAAAGGCTGTCTAACTTACAAGTTTCAGTCAGCTCCCATATGAACCCCCTGGAAGTGGTGAGGCGGCCTGCGCCATGCCTGCAACGTGGGCTTCGGCCAAACGCTCATGTTTTGGAACTTGGGCTTCAGGGATTGAGGGCACCGGAGTGTTGCTATGCGTGTGCTGCGGATACTTCGAAACGGGAGAGCGCTTGTCAAAATCACATCGCGAGGCCTGAGGAGAAAACCCTGTAGAAGGCCCGCCGTACGCAAACAAAACCCTGAAGTCGAGCCCGCAAGCCAAGGAGGCTTCGAAGTAACTTCAAGTTTTCATGGTCACCTACCGAAGTGCCTGAAAGTTTGTTAAGGAGTCATGTTCATGGACGGGAGTGCAAACCATCCATCCATCCATCCATCCCTCCCTCCCTCCCTCCGTCCGTCCGTCCGTCCGTCCGTCCCTCCGTCCATCCCTCCGTCCATCCGTCGGTCCATCCATCCGTACATCCTTCCCTCCATCCGTCCATCCTTCCGTCCTTCCATGCTTCCATCTTTCCATCCTTCCATGCATGTATGCAGGCTTATATCGGTAAGTAAATATACATATAAAGCATATACATAGGTGTATTGCGTATATGTATATATGCACAGATGCATGTTAGCATATGTGTGTATATGTACATATTCATGTGTGTATATGTTTCTCTGTTTGTATTTTTTGCAAGTATAAATGTTTCCGCATTTATGTAGGTATACATCTGCCTTTACGTATTGTATGTATGTGTGTATGTATGTATGTATGTATGCATGTATGTATGTATGTATGTGTATGTGTACATGTATGTGTATGTGTGCACAGGTATATAGATGGCAGACTCCAGATCCTTACAGCGATTTCGGTTGCGGACAGAGGTGTGCGACGAGATGCAACTGAAAGCGCCGGGTGAACCTCTTGGTGCCATTGCTGAGGCTGTTTGCGGGGTTGGGTCTGGGGACGTCGATTCTATGCTAGGTGCACTGATGTTTTCCTTGCAACACTATGCGGTTCTTGTGTTCAGTTACTACTGGCTGTGTATGTCGGCTTGGACTACATGCAACTATGCGGTTTGGCACTGTTGCGTTGGTTTGGATGTGTGGCTTGACTTGTTAATTCTTGGGTCGGCCGGGCTCTTGAGTGTTCAGCAGAAGTTCAGCATGTGTTTCATGTTGGAGTGGGCAGAAAGATTGTGACTGGCAGTGACAAACCTAGTCTACGCAGATTACCCCAGGCTTGATAGGTTGCTTCATCTTGCGGTGCCAGAGGAATCAGAGCCTTCCTTCCGGAGTGTAGACTTCATTCACATCGGGAGCGGGGGGGGCATCGGTTGACGCGAGCTTCCCGAGTTTGGGTCTTTTTTCTATCCAGTTATGCAAGTGAGGCCGTGGCATGTTTGAGGCCTTGCTTTGGGGATCTAGCCGGAAAGCTCCAAAGGCCAAACGGTTCTGGGGGTTTAGCAGCTGCAGGGCCTAGAAACTGTTTATCAAGGTACGTGGGTTTGCAGGTAGCAGGTTTTACATGCCATGCAAGCCAAGATGTTGAGTGGCTTCCCATGATAAACTTACTAGAAAATGGTCTTGGATTTGCGGATGTCGTGCCCTGAAATCGCGATCCGCCAAACAAAGCAGACGCCCCGTTGGCCCAGCTTAAAACTGCAGATCTCGGCCTCGTTCCGATCCCGACAGCAATCCAGAAGACCAGATAGGCTGCTGTCATTGCTAGCGGCGCTGAAGAGATGCCTTTTGGGTGTCATAGTACAACTATGAAGACATGTATGCCCCCAAACCCCTTTTGAGACACGACGCCGAGCATAAGCTGAAGTGCTGTTCCAGGCCGGTGGGTCATGTGCAGACCTTCCTGGCCGTGTGGGGGGCGGCTGAGATGACAAGGGCGATTAAAGTCTAAAGCCTTGTGAGTCAGCGGCTGTCAAAGACAGCCGCTACACCCGTCAAGGACAGTTTCGAGCCTCCAGCCGAGCATGTACGGAGAGTGGGTTTTACGGAGTGCATTGGCTCTTATCTGGTCTGCATGCAGTGAATATGTATACATCCCTCCCTCCCTCCCTCCATCCACACATCCATCCATCCACCCATCCATCCAGGCATGCATACACATAGACATAGACACAGACATAAACATAGAATTAGACATAGACATAGGCATGTAGATTTTCACGTACATGCACTTATGTGTATGGATCTGTATATATATATATATATATGTATATATATACACACACACTTGTTAACAAACTATATATATATATATATATGTATATATATATATATGCGTGCACATAGTATGTATGTATGCATGTATGTATGCATGTGTATGCATATGTGTATGTATGCCTGCATGCATGTATGCATGTCCTTGTGTGTGTATGTATCTATGTATCTATGTATGTATGCATGTATGCATGTATGTATGTACGTATGTATGTAACGGTGGTGCACGCATAGATATTGCATCCATACGTGCATGCACGTATCCATGGATACATACATGCTTGGTTACTTATGTACATACAGACTCATACATACATACAGGGAAGTCTAGGCATTGCTGCCAACGGATATCAACTCACAGTGAGTGCAGTTGTGGCCCCTATTCCAATCTGCCTTGGAAAGGGAGGGAAGGCAGCGAGAGAGACTGGATTCTCGGCATCGGTACTTATGCTTATACGCCTGAACGCCTAGTTTGTCACCATTAAGCAGAACAGATCCTTGCAGGAGTTACCATTGTCCTGGCAACTAATTCTTCTTGGGCCGTGATCTGCAAGGTTTTGAGCGCACAGGCGTAGCACTCCTAGGCCCTTGTCACCCTTGGGTCAGCCAACAGGAGTTCGACAATTTCGATCAGATTGCCCTAGTCGTGACCTCAGCAAGGGGATGGGGGTCAACTCTTTATTCAACCCGCACAATCCCAACTTCCTCTTCGGAGTTTCGGACCACCGGGCTTGAGATGCTAGGCAGTCTCTTATGTTTGATCGGTTTAGAGGCCTTCCAAGGTGCCTTTCGAGCAAAGCAGACGGTCAAATGGGTCGACATGTGAACAGCGAGTCGACTTTTTATCTCCAAGCATCTTTCTTGGTGTCTACAGCTTGGTTATGAAGTATGGGCAACAGTCACAATCCAGACAAGGGAGTGTCAAGTCGGTTTCTAGTGTTTCATGGAGGTTAGAGCAGTACGGTGTTTTGTTGCCCTTGCCGTGTGCCGTCACTGTTCCCGCTTGAGAATCAAATCGTGTGCTCAGTAACCACACAAAGCCCGAATCCCAATCCCGAAAGCCTCCGCATCCCAACGCCGATCGCCTCCTGCGAACGCACAGTGTTGGGCTTCTTTGGCAGGCCCAAAAGCTGGAGAAGCATCAGCTCATTGAGATGCGGCGGATCGCGACTTTGGCCGCGGCCTCAGTCCTCTCCAACGGCTTAGCCACGAGGTCTTGCAACCCAAACCCAATAGCACACCCAAACAACACAGTCTTTGGCACCTTTAAAGCCCTGAGCCGTTGTTGGACCATTGGGCTTCAGAACTGAGTGCTCGGTCAAAGTGAAGCTGTCTTCCGTCTAATCCCGGATGCGAGGTCGTGAGCAATTTCTCTCGCTACCCGCGAAATTCGGAATTGAACAGTCAGCTCAGTGCTCTGTTTCTCCGGCAGCGCGCGCTTGCGGGGATAGGTAGACGACTGGGCG